CCACGATAATAGCAAATATTCCAAGTTCAGATGAGGAGCATTTTCCTCTAAAGGCAATTCGCTGATCTTTTCTGAGTTGGCAACATTTCTCAGTGGCTTCACACTTTCTGCAAAGTTTTAAGTGACTTCCTTTGAAGAGCGCTATTTAATGCCAATGATTGTAGAAAACATTTGTTCATAATTATCCAGACATAGACTGGAACAATGCTGAAACAAGAGCAGCATGCAAAAATGTATTTAAGGACTATCATCCCAAAATGCTGCTAAAAGCTATTAACCAGTATGTGTTAATTGCCACAGCATTCATATTAATTTTCACTTCAGGCTCGACACTGTGGAATATTTCCCCTGATACATTTTAAACAAAGTTTAATTTAAGGAACTGCTTCTATCAACACTTATGAAAATTAACAGCCAAGCAATTAGCACTCATGAATTATCCCTTCCCCCATGCTCTCTGCAGCTTCCCTGTTAAAACAGTTTCTAACAGAGAAATGGTTACTTTCTAGCAAGTTAACACAATCAAAGTCACAGTTGTCTGTATGAACTAGCACTGGTTCTGCTTTTTAAAGCACTTGTCAAGGCAAACATGCTCCTTATATTTAGAGTATAATTTAGCTAAGTCAAATAAGTAAAATACTTAACGTTTTACTAAACTGCCAAGCAATTACTAGTATCAAACTACCCTCTCACCTGATGTTTAAAAAATAGCCATTGCAAACAAACAAACAAAAAAAGGAAGTAATTACTTGTCTTAATCTTCCTATTTCAAGTTAAAGGTCAAAACCCCACTGGACTGACTCCCTGGACTTATACAAGCAGACCACCTTCACCCAGTCTGCTGTACATCTTGTGTAATGATGCTAAAGTCCTAGTTTTAAGAGCACATTTCCTCTCACTCGATCCTGTCAACAACCTAATAAAGTACAAAGGAGAGACAGTATCACTGGCCTGCACCCTTTACAGAGAAAGAGGCAGAAGTGGGGTATTTGCTGAGCACTTCCTATGTGCTCTATCTCAATACTCATCAGGAAGACACACTACCACCATCTCATTCCACATACGAGGACTGCAGCTTCATGAGGTTAAGTAACTAGCCTGAAGTCATACCACTAAGTGGTGGAATTAGGATTTAAACTCAGACCTTACTACAAAATAGATCTGCTTACAAACTACACTGCCTCTCCCCATGCTAGGGGCTTTATCCTATTTGATGGTCTCATCAGCTTTGTTAGGAAGAAACTCTTAATTTCTTTGCATAGGTAAAGAAACTGAGGTTCAGTGAGGTGAAAAACCTGACTGAGGTGACACAACGATAATCAGTACCATTTCTTTGTTAGTAACTGTACTGACTGGAGATGGGTATCTGAACTTCTAAGGGTCTACTGATGATGATAATATTTGTAAACTCAGTTTAACCAAAATAGTGATGACGATGTACTAGCTAAAGCTTCTCAAGTGATAAGGCATGGGAAAAGGGCTAGATACTTTTAAAAATAAGACCTCTTTTGAAAAAGGTGGAAAGACAGGGCAGAAATCCACATATTCAGGGTCACTTAAATCAGTGCTGAATGTTTATTGCCTGTCACTCCTTCATCGTTTCAGAGCAACTCCCTGTCACACCCAACATTTCCCACTTTCCGTGAGATAAGAAGGACTGGCACAGGAATTTTCCTATTGTCTCACCTCTAAAACAGAGGTTGGTTTTGTTAATGAAGCTATTCAGAAGTCCTGTTTTTAACAAGCCCAAAGAATTTAGGCAGATGGCTGAGCCTGGTTTTGCCCTGTCCAGCTAAGCATTCCCTAAAACCACTTGCAATCTGTCCTGGTCTTTTTTCAAATGATCAGTAAACAGAGTTATTAATAACCTATGAATCTAAAACAGTCACGGATAGCATTGCCAATTTGCCAAAAAGATAATATAAACATAGTAATTAACCTGATCAAAAAACTGTAAAAATTACAATAAAGCATATACCTAAGTATGGCCTTTCCCTCTCGACTACATGCCTTCAAGAAATTATTAACCAACCACAGTTTTAAAAAAATCAAATTATTAACCAGCTACAGGAACCAAAAACTATTTAAAAGTATTCGTTTTAATTTAGTACAATAACTAAGAGATGCTTACCCTTAGAACCACTAAAACCAACAATTCAGTTTGCACAAATCCTTAAAGATGCCTGCTTACTTACAATGTAACTGTAAAGCCACACCAAAAACAAAATCCTTTTTTCAAATCCAATGCTAGTTTAATCATAAGGAGGATTTCACAGCAGTTAGTCTCTTGAGGAAATAGATAATTAAGTAGTTCTTTAGCATATTTAATTAGACCCCAAACTCTTCCCTGTCCCCTTCTCTCCCCAATTATGTACCATTTGCCCAAGAGACCTAAGCAACTCAGTTAATTATGTAAATAAGGCAAGCGTTATTCCCAAGAAAAGCATTGTGAATATCTGTAGTGGAAAGAACCACATATTTTAGTGGCTTTAACAAACCTTTGCAAAAAAAAGGGGGGGGGGGACTATCAAAAAACATGAGAAACTCTTACATTTGAGGCAAGAAACAGGGAGTTCAATGACAAGATGGTGAATCATTAAAACAGGACACTCATTTCACTTCTTAAATATGAGCTGAATAAAAATAAAATAATTCTAAGTTACAACAGTAACAAAAATTTAGTACTGAACGTCAAATGATTTATGGGAAGAATCAATCTGGAAATTATTAAAGTCGACTCTCACGGAAAAGGCTTTATTATCAAGGGGTTGACATGATCTTAACTCTCGAGGCAGCCATGGTGCTGTTATAACTACTACAATCCCATTATTATGCAATCACAAAATGCTAATTTCATCATTTTGAGGTGTTATTTGAATAGTCATTTTAATTTCTAGGTTACGAAAAGGCTTGACTCAAGTATAATTCTCTATTAATCATTGAGATGTCATTGAATATCATATTGATGCATTTCACAAAGATAGACTAATTTAATATGTACAATACAATATCCTTCAAATATTAAGCCACTTTCATTACACATCTGCCAAATGCATCAATATTAAATAATAGATGAGAACAAGGGTTTAATTGTGTTTTAGCAATTGTAATATGTAGGATAATAAAAAAATAGCACTGCGTCACAAGACAGACTTATCGATATATAAATCTTTCCTAATCAATTGTGCAATGGTGACTGGGCCATGCTCACATCCTTTGCTGATTACAAATAGACTTGATATGACAAAAACATCGAGAGTCGTAAGTGTAAACACGTATCTAGCAAAAATAATTCCTTTGTGACTGACGAAATGGCTTATTTTATTTTTTAATTTCAAGTTAGGTATATATAACAAGCAGAGTTCACAACCTTCTAACAAATCCAAATCCTAAGTAATTTATAATAGAATCTAATAGTATAATGAAAATTCTAGAATATAGTATTTTAAAAGATCTGTACTACTTTGTTGGCATCACAGCATTATCAAATACTAATTACTCCAGCAATTAACTGCATCCTCAATGAGATGATAGGCAATGGAAGCAAATAAATTCTAGCCATGTAACCTAATCCCAATAATAACATCTCACATATCTAAATGAATCAATTGTAGTAGTTAAGAAAAAAATCCCCTACAGTCCAACTCACTAGTTTCCAGAGGCTGACATTCCTGTCCCCTAGGGGGACCCTTCCTCCTCTTTGCTGCATTCCACAAGAAGAAACAGGAAAAGGTGGCAGGGGCAGGCTGAAGAGCAGCTCTTCACAGGATACAATCTCTAATTTACTGGAAGTAGTTTCTTATGTTTTTTGGAGAAAACTCCTGAGCATATTAGGATTTTATGCTATTTATGCATTTTGTTTCTAGTTTTTGTTCTCCTTCCCCGCCAACATCAATAACCTCATGTGCCAATGTCCATATATGCTTACTTAAACCAATGGAAACATGCTGAATTGTATGAGGTGAAAGTGTTTCAAAGAAAAAACATCTCCTTGCTCAAAGACGACAACTGACAGAACCAGCATATAACCAGGACTTGATTATAAAAAGTGCAAACATAAGCAAAGAGCTGTATCTTTATTAATTGCAATGCTGTTGAAATAAGACAAATTGTACACAATCCCTCCAGGCAACAAGCTATCACTCAGCACGCCCACACCACTGCCAGACAGCAAACATAATGGCAATAAATATAAAAATCAACTGCTACTGTCCTGAAAGAAACCCAGCTCAGCTCAGCACAGAGACGAAGAATGCCAGGGAATGGGTAAGAGAGGGTGCTGCATGTATTGATAGAACTATATTCCACCTAAAATAGTGGCCATTTTTCTGAAAGGAAAACAAACAGACTTTAATTTAGCAACTGCAAATTGTCAGAACAAACAGGAAAAAATTAAGTCATCCTGCATAGCCAGTGTCAGACAACAAGATTCAATAAAACACTGACATGCAAAGCAATGTCTTAGAATTCTGAAATGAAGCTCTCACCTCTACAATTTCTGGAGTTATAATCAAGAATCAGACAAGACAACCCAAACCATCTCCCAGAACCACTTTCATGGCTTTCCAAACAGTCAGACCTTGATTAATCACAGCCCAACTAACCCAAACCTTAGGAGAGAAACACTTAGGAGATAAAACAGGAACACACACACACACACACACACACACACACACACACCTCCAGACTGTTTTTGTTTTCATCCTCCCAAACATAGATAAAACAGGAACACACACACACACACACACACACACACACACACACACACCTCCAGACTGTTTTTGTTTTCATCCTCCCAAACATATTACTGTGGAAACCACATTAGGCCCAAATCCACACCTTTTTACACCCTCAGTCTTAGGAAATGTGAGTGACATTCTATATTTACTGAGTCCCTTTTGAAACCCTAAATCTAAATCTAATAAGAATAAGAATAATAACCAACAATAATTCCATCCAATTGAGGTTTTACCTAAAGGGATAGTTTCACGTTTACTTACCTTGCCATCAAATTTGGAATACTCGTTAAAGGGGTTATTCAGCTGCAGAGGACACTGCTCCAGGCGTACAGATAATATTGACTGCTTTCCAGAATGTGGAGGTTTCTCTTTGAGCGATTTTTTTTCAAATAGTGACTTTAACTCCTGGGCTGTGATACAAGAGGAAGATAAAAACATCTTTGTGATTACAACACAGAGAGATAGCCTGTCCACCTTCCCTAAAAAGTCTTCCTTGGAATCCTGAGGAGGGAGTGTCCAAGACATGTTTAGGTCAGATATGTGCAAAAAGTCTCACATATATGTCTGTGCACTGAAAGAGCAGAGCACTGAAAAACACATAGGTCAGGTTTGTCAACTTAGAAAGACTAGGGTTTAAGGAAGGGGGCAGAAGTCAGACCAGCCAATAGAACAGCCATTTTGTAAGAGCACCCACAGCTGTGAGACCTGAGATTCAGCCTGGCTTTGCCACTAACAGATAGATGTGTGACACTGGACCATTCACTAAAGCTCTTTGGACTTGTCAAACCAGATTATCTTGAAGATCTCTCCTGGCTCTAATATGTGATTTTGAAGTTCTAGTTCTTCAAGGTCAAGGTCCACCTCTTAATCCTCTCACACTTTCCAATGACATCTAGCACACAATCTGGATGACAAAGATGAGGAGGAGGAAAAGGAGAAAGAGTATTTTTAATAATAATAGCTAACATTTACTGAGCAAACCAATGTATCTCATCTAATCCTCATAACAAGCTTATGAGGTAGATATTTGCATTATCTCAATTCTGTCAACTGGAAACTGAAGCGTAGAATATTTTGATTAGCCCTAGGCCACACAGCCAGTAAGGAGCAGGGCTCAGATTTGCACCCAGCCATGGCTCTTAGCCATCAGGCACTAATGAACAAAGTAGACCTTCAATAAATTTTGTTGTATGAATCAATGAATAAAATAATGATTGAAGGAATTCAGATTAAGTTATTAAATCAAAACCTTCAGCACTTATTCATTAGTGAACCAAGACAAGTTAGTTCCATATCTTCTCAAAGATCATTTCATTCTCTATATTAATCTGAATGTCATTTAAGGTGATAGCTGGATGATAAGTACATGGGGTTTCATTATACTTTATATTTTGTGATGTTAGAAAATTTCCATACTTTACACTTTAAATGAATCAATCGTAGATCTTAAAATGTGCAATAAATAAGTTCAACCCATTCCATTCTTGAGCATAGCCAACTTGAAATGAGATCAAACATAATTGTGAAATAGTCACTTAGAACTTTTTAAAAAGGGAACAAAATTATTTTCAACAAACCAGTGGGGGAACTTTATCAAACAAGTCCTTATAGATTTAAGTGGCAAACCAGGAGAAAAGGATCTAATTCTTTTTAAAAATGTGGCACTTGACTATCCAATCCAGATTCTGAATATATAAGTACATGTAATCAACGGATTAATATGTTAATTATACATTAATACCAACAGATTAATGCACATTTGAAAAAGTTTTAGATTACTACTGAAGTGGTATTTTAAATATTGGAAGTACTATTCTACCTGTACTCTATCAATAATTTTATTGCTACACTTTGGAAAAGAATAATCCTTTATTAAATACCTACTAGGAAAAAGCAAAAACAAAAAACCTACTAGGGGCCAGGAACAATGCCAGGTGTCTTCTCACCCTGTCCTCACAATGATCCTGAAAGACAGGTTACCAATAGCTCCATGAAGAAACTGAGGTGTAGCAAACGTTAAGTCCCTTATCCAAGTCACTCTACTGTTATCAGTAGGGTTAAGTGTGAAGTGATGATATATTAACTCTTCCATTCTCAGACTAATTCACACTTAGACCTCTCTCCTCAACCTGTGACATTTTCCCACTTCCTCTTTTGCTTCCTACATCACGGAGAAACAGAAACAACCAAAAGAGAACTTTTGCATGCTCTCACCTGCACTTCCTCCCACCTTCCCTCCCATCACAACATGGATGAACTGCCTATGCCCCTATCAGATCAGCCCCTCCTTTGTGCACTAGATTCCATCCACTCTTGCCGACTCAAGGGCATCAATCAGGCAATTCTCTTCCATCTCACTTCCATTTTCAATTTTTCCCTCTTATTGGGTTAGTCTCATCAGCATACAGATACTGAAATACTACTCATTAAAAAAAGAAAAATTCTCCTGTACTTCCATACTCCCATCCAGTTACTACCCTATTTTTCTGCTCCTC